TATTGGTCCGAATATTCTGTTTTAACGAAGCATAGTCGGCAGGGAGACCACGGAGAACACAGAGTATGATATCCTGTTCGGAGATGTGTTCATGTGCGAGTTTGAGGGACGCCACAATATTCAAAACACCATCGAGATATGTTTGCATAGAGGCACTACCTTTTTGAAGACCATGGAGTTGTTCCTTCAACTGAAAAATATGTGTAGGAAATAAAGAATTGTACCGCTGCTCTAGGTGGTTCCAGATATCAGCCGCGGTAGGGAGCGCATGGATATGGGTTTGCACGACTGGAGAGACGATAGCCAGAAGACATGCCCGGAGTTGAGCGTCCACAACCAGCCAAGTCTCATGAGCAGGATTAGGCTTAAGGATCGGAGGTTCATCCTTAGCAGGAGCGGCGGCTTTTTCATCCAATATCATAGAGGGAGGTTTTGGTTCGGTGCCATCGACGTACCCAAGCAAGCGATGAGCCATGAGATTCGCACGCACCGTAGCAGACCAGGAAGGATAGTTTGTGTCATCAAGTTTTGCCGGTGTAAGAGATTGGAGATTCCGGACAAATAACTTGAGACCAGTAGGAAGACGATCCATGGGATCGGTTGACAGTGGTGCCATGGCTGACGAAGGAAGGCGGTGGACGGCGACTGCCTGGTCCGGCGAACAGAAGCAAGAAACCCTAATCGGGTATACTGCTAGGTTTTTTTTTTAAATGTGTGTAGGTTGAGGGAGGAGAAAAAATTGGATCAGGCTCTGATACCATGTTGAATAATTGAATAAGAATTTCACTCAAGGAATAAAGGGGGTTACATAAGGTATATATAGATGTGGAGATCCTAACACAACTAGGATTCCATAATTATCAAACCTGCTAAATATAAGAATTCTAACATAACTACATTACTGCTATAGTTGTCTAACACTATTTAATAAATAAAAAAGTTTAAGTACTGATGGATATAACCCATTGGTACCACCCGGTAACTTCACAGGCTCACGAGAGGTACCGAAGTCAGATCTCACTTGACCTCACAGACCCCGGTAATCTGACCGGGTGGATGTCAGGGTCAGACCTGTGGGATCGTGACTTCATTTACAGAAGGCTTAAAGTCTGATCGGGTTTGACCTCACCTTCCCCAATAATCTGACCGGGTGGATGTTGGGGGTCAGACCGGTAACATCATGACTTGAAGATAGACCAGGTGGATAACTTGAAGATTGCCCGGGTGGATGACTTGAAGACTGCCCGGGTGGATGGCTTGAAGACTGCCCGGGTGGATGGCTTGAAGGTTCCACCCGGTAGGTTCGTGACCGACCGGGAGGTACCTAAATCTAACACCCCATGACTTGGTCAGCCCGGGTAGTCTGACCGGTCATGTATGGGAAGATTCGGAATCAGGAACATGGCTTCGTCTGACAAAAGCATGCTTGCTGACCGGTTGGAGACTGACCGGCCGGAAGGACGAAGACGTGCTTCTTTATTATTATAAATAGGACTAGAAGCCTCATTTGTGAGGCACGCTTTGATTAATCCGCACGTCTTGTAGCTTGTAAACGGTCCCAATATTATTAATAACAAACCGGGTTACAGGTGTTCCCACCTACCACCCTTCCGCTTTTTGTGACTTAGTTCTCACGTTGGTTTTACACCATCAAGTACTACATTGGGAAAGGACATATGTTTTAGTACTATTTAGTACAAATTTCTTATTTCTTTTATCTGTATTAATTAATATCTTTTTTAAAGTTTTCCGTGTAAAATTTCTCTAAAGGATACGAATGAATATAATCTTAATAATTACTTCCTCCGTCCCACAAAGTCATTATTTTGATTTTTATGAGAATTAAGGAAGAGATATATCTGCATTGACTTTATAAAATTACTCTTGATGTGATGTGTGAAAGTAGGATGTAATAGATATATTATTAGTGAATATGTATGATGTAATAGGTAAAATAAAAATTAGTTGGATTAAAAGTAATTTTTTAATGTAAATATAAAATATTGTGGGACACAAAAAAAGATAAAGAGTTTGTGAGATAGAGAGAGTAGATGTTAACCCTATCCTCGTCCTATGAGCATGTTAGGCCTTATTTGGTGACAATATTTTCGATTAGTGTTAGTGTTTTGGATAAAAATTTAATGGTGTAGATTAATTCTAAAAATGGTAGTGTTAAAGGCTACGTTGAATAGCTTTTTCAAAACACTAACACTAATCTCTAACGCTGATGTCAAACTAGGCCTAAGAGTTTAACTACCAAAAATCGTGTATCTAACGGTTCAAAAGTAGCTGAAGATATTTCTAACAATATTTTCACGCTAAGGGTTCCTGATTATACACTAACACTATGTTTGGTTCAAGGAATTTGAAAGGGAAAAGAAAAGAAAATGAAGTAGAAAACAGTTTTTCATGTTTGGTTGTAGAGGAAAAGTGGAAAAAAAAGAAAATGAAAAGAAAAATGTACTAAGTGGAGGGAAAACCAAATTCTTCTCATTTCGGTGAGGAAAATGAGAGAAAATCATTTTCTTTTCTTTTCCTTTCAATATACTCCGCATTAATCAGTACAGAAAGGTAAAATCGAGATGCATGATCATCCATCTTAGATTGTTGGTCAACCACCCCTAATCGTCGATCGACCTCCCTTGACTTACCTCACCCTTTACGTACAGAATACGTTTTCAAAGTAATCTGCGCCGTTAAAATTTTATCCAAAACGCTAACGCTAAACTCTAACGTTATTCCCAAACAGACCCGTTATATGTACGTATTAATTATTTTTATCGAAACAAATTAAATCAGATAAGTCCAGAACTTAAAGAAAATAAAATCTCATTTAATCACATCAATGAAAGTCTTACTTTGGCAACCACTAGGGAGGTATGGATTTCCTTCATAACCATCTCTGCATCTACATCGGTACCCAGATCTGGTCTTGGTGTCGACGCACACCGTATTCTTGCGGCGGCGGTGGCAAATATTGCGACGATCGCTGCCACACGTCTGGTTCTCCTTCCCCACCGCCCAATCTATGACCAAAACCGACGAGTTAAAACGCAGATTCTTATCGTTAGCCCTTGCTCTGAACCACCCATTTTTGGCCACAAAACCGTAGCTACAGCTGTTGTTATAGCCCCCCGTCTGTTCCCCGAAACTGAGGGCGCGTGTTTGGATTCTCCTCATCCCCGCCGGAACAGTGATACTGCAGCACCCGATCCCGGAGCATTCAGTGATGTGATCGGCGATTTCGTCGCCGCATATGGTAGTGCACCCGGTCCAGTACCCGTCTCTGTCCATGGGACTGATAGAGCCGTTGCTGAATTCGCTGCCGTACAGAATGGCGTACGTGTTGCAGCCGACGGCGAAGAACTTGTTTTCGTCGCCGGAGACGCTGAAAGTCGGCGGCTCCACTCCCAGCAGAGGCTGCCTATCGGCCACCGTTCTGCATATTGGGTGGAAACAGAGGCGGGACACTGGCATCAAGATCTCCATCGTCCCCTTCACAGGGTCGATTCGGGAAATTTGAGATTGAGTGGTCGGGGTTTCTTCGTTCCGGAACTGGGTTGTCCAGAGCTTCGAATCTCCGTCGCAGGTGAGTTTGAATCCGGCGTCCAAGAAACATTTCTCGTCGCCGACGCCGAACGGGTAGGGGATCTCGACATCTCCGCACTTCTCGGGGCAGCCGGGCAAAGCTATTTGAGTTGTCGCCGCCTTCGCCGTTTTCGTTGCCAATAACCCAATAATCAACAGAGCCGCGGCCATTAACGGCACATTACTGTTCATCTTCTTCAGCTTCCAATGAGCCAGTAGTGTTTATTTTAGTACGGGGGGATAGTGGACTTGGTCAGCTATGGCGTTCATTCCATAGATAGAGTTAATCTTTTGAGAGAAATTTATCTTAGGACTAAAACATAATGACTTTCCTAGGACCATATGTTTTTATTTCTCAATGTAGGACTTTTGTTCATTATCAATTAGTCATTATTCAAGTAAATGTCCATCATTACTGGACATTATTCCTCCCACTAGTTATTATTAAATCCTATTTAGAAAATAAAAAAATTTAAGTCCTACATTGGGAAATGACCTATGTTTTAGTTCTATTTAGTGCAAATTTCACTTTTTTGAATACTTATTTTCTTTTTTTAAAATTCTTCTATTTTCAACTATTTTCTTCATTTCCTTTTACTCATTATTCTAAAATGATAATTAATTTTTAAAAAACTTTTAAATTAAAATTTATCATTAAATATATTTTGTCCAAATTTCAATGAATCTTAAAAATTACACATGAATTTTGGTGTTTAAATTTTTTTTAGTAAAATAATATAGTGATATCAATTATATATTCAATCATACGACATCGAACTATCTATAAATTATGTTATTTTCTTGAATTATTAAAAATTTGTTTTAAAAAATATTTTTAAAAATTAATAGTACCAAATTTTAATTAATTTTATTGAAATGGTTATTACTGTATGATATTTTTTAATAAATGCTCTCTTCATCCACAAATTTTCTTCCGTTAAGATGTTCGAATGAAATTAGTTTTAATTCATTTTATATGATATTCGGTGTAAAATTAAATAATAAAAAATACATATTAAAAACGAGATCAAAATTTTAACAAAATTAGAGATGATATTATTGTATAATTTTCACATACGATCAGTATCAAATCTCCATTAGAGAGCTCCGTTCTACATGGTTTGGGGGAGGGAGTGGGGTGAGAGTAGTTCTTTGCTTTGTTCGTAAAATTAGAGGACACGAACAATTACAAAGAAAATGAACATTTATCCATAGAAAAAAATCATTTTTTGAAAAAAATGATTTCCTACCACTTTTCTAATCAAATGTAGGAATTTAGATTTAGATTCTCTAAAAAATATTTTTCTTTCAACAAAAAAAACTTTAGAAGTCAGAGTCCAAAAGAATATTGTCTTTCAAGTTTTATAGAATATATAACAAAATGGTTGAACCTAATGATGAAATGAAAGAGGGTAAAAAGGTTCTATATATAGGAAAAATTTAGACTTAGGTTACAATGATGGGCCGGGCCAGACGAACTAACTAGTCTCTACAAAGCCCAACACCTCATTCTCTAAGATAAAGGTTGTGTTCGGATAGTGACTTCTCAATTAACTTTTAGTTTCTTTGACCGATTTTGATTGTTTTGACCAATTAAATAGTCAGAATCAATGTTTGGTAAATGACTTTTCCATGTAGTGCTTGGTCCGAAAAGCCAAAGGTAGTGGCCTTTCAACTTGGTTGTTAGCAAATAATTAATTTCTTTATTATTTTTCTATAAAGATATATGTAAAAAATTAAATTTTTAAAAATTTAAAAAATAAAATAAATGAAATGAGAAAATAAAAAGAAAAAATAATTATAGAAAAAGTACAAAATAAAAAATTAGATATGATAAAAAATAGCCGAGTTCGCTCCAAGATTGGCTCAAAAACTTGCATTTTTATGCCCTCTCATTTAACCATTTTATTGCTTCTCATTAGAATTTCTATATTATTCATTTCTATGACTATATGAAATTATAATAATTTAATATATTAAAAATTTATTTATATTTTTATGTTTTACTCATATTTTAGTCTTTTTGTCTTTAATTTTTACATAAACAAAAGTAAAAACAAGTATTGCATTTATATTTTGTTACAAATAATGAGTGTGTGTCTATATATATATATATATATATATATATATATATATATATATATAATTTATTTTTAATTTTTGAATATTTCAAAACAACTATTTGCAAGTTGCTAAATCTACCAAACATTTTTTAGCAATAAGCCAACACATTCAGCCGGTCAAACCAATTAAACTCAACAGCCACTCAGAATAGCTGATACAAACAGCCAACAACTGATAGCCAACTTTCAAACAAAACCAAAAGTATAGCTTGAGGAAATCTTACACATTTATGCATTACTTTTATCTTCTGTCGAGGAAATCAAAGTCAGCTTTTCGTCGTTCCCATATGATTTGTTCATATTTCATGTTACAGGATGGCGCGGAAGTACCAAAGGATCAGAAAGCTGAATGCGCCCAACCAAAGAGGATTCCACTGACATTGTGCAGTTTGACATTGTCTTAACACATGAGAGGTTTTGTATATTTTTAAAGGATTGACAATCTGTCTTCTTTTCTTCTTTTTTTTCCCTCTTCCTAAACATGCAAAAAAGACCTAGGTGGATAATGTAAATTCTAACGTCACCAGAGAAGAGTTAATCAAGGCACCTCCAAATGAGATGGGGTGTCAATGTCAAACCATTCATTATATGAGGAACCAATTGTATCTTCTTTAGCTACATATGAGAGGGTGAAACCATTAATGGCTTCACCGCCAGTTTGCTTTCATTCCTCATTTGTTTCAACCTCTTCTTTGGGCCTGTTTAGGAATAGCGTTAGAAATTAGCGTTAGCGTTTTGGATAAAATTTTAACGGTGCAGATTACTTTGAAAACGCTAACGCTAAACGCTGCCCGTAGATAGCCTTTTCAAAATGCTAAGGCTATTCCCAAACAGGCCCTTTGTGGAGTACGTTAAGCTATGAGTAGAGACCATTTTGGTGCCAAGTGCATATGCACCCGCCTTTGAGTGTTACCAAACACGCCCTTATAGAATAGAACCTAGGAAAATAATGTCACTTATTGTCAGAGGATTAGTTAGTTACCTAATCTTAATAGTTACCAAAAGCATTTCTATGTTTTCTTTTGCACAAAAAAAGTTATTTATTACTATCTCCGTCCCATTTTATAACGTCTGTTTCGGTTTACGATGTTTGACTGAAATTATTTTCAAACCATTTTATATGACAAATGGTATAGAATTAAAAAATAAAAATTACATATTAAAAAACTACATCAAAAGATCTACAAAACTAGTAGTGACAATAATATTTTATTTTATCAAATTGCTAACGAAAATAGATAAAGAAAGTGAATGAAGTTTGACCCTGTGAATAGTAAACATGCATTATAATTTGGGACGGATGGAGTAGCATTTACACATTTACTTATTACCCTTTATCTATAGGTCTATACCATTTTGTTTAGGGTAATTTACCTAAATAGGACTAAAACATAATGACTTTTCTAATATATGATCATATGTTTTTATTTCCCAATGTAAGACCATTGATCATTATCTATTAGTCATTATTCAACTAAATGTCCGGCATCACTTGAACAATATTTTTCTCACTAGTCATCATTAGGTCCTATTTAGGGAATAAAAAAGTTTAAGTCCTATATTGAGAAATTACTTATGTTTTAGTCCTATTCACTCACTTTTGTTTAATCTTAAGTGTATCATAGCTTTTACCTTAAATGTTCCGCATAAAGTTTTATGGACCAGACAAGAGGATAAGAGAGAGCATACTAATCACAATTATTTTTATGGTTTAAATCCGTTTTTCCTTCATCTCAACGAGCTGGGTTTGACTTGATCATCCATCTATTTTACTCCCTCCGTCCCATAAAACATTTCTCCTTTCTCTTTTTATCCGTCCCATAAAACACTTCTCATTTCTATTAAAAAGTCACTTTTACCCCTTACTTTTTCATACCCTAACTATCACATCATACCTTTTTACTAATAATCTATCCATCAAATCATACTTTTACCAATCACATCAAAGGACATTTTTGGAAATTCAATACCAAAATACACTCCCCTTAAATCCATCCTAAAACACAAAACTCTCATGTTTCATGGGACGGAGGGAGTAGTGAAATTTACTTTTTACTCCTACAAAATTGATAACATTTCATTAAAATGTAAACTAATCCAAATAAATTGAGACAGAAGGATTAATAACTCCGTAGTATGATCATCCATCTTTTCCAGTTCAAATTCTTTCTATTCCACATCCAATTACTCTAAAAACGATATATTTTTAATGTGATTATTATTATTATTATTACAACTATTATGTTCATAACTATAGTTTATAAATTATTATTTTTCATCTCACTATTTTTACGATTCACACTCATTATAATTTTTTAAACTAATAATTTAAAAAAGTTGAAGAAAAAACAGTGAGATGAAAAAAATAATTTATAAACTATAATTTATAAATTATTGTTATGAACATAATAGTTTCAATAATAATAATTATAACATAATAGTTATAAACTAAAGTTGAAGAAAGAATAACAATCAGTGTGAATTGTAAAAGTAGTGAGATGAAAAAAAATAATTTATAAACTATAGTTATGAACATAATAATTGTAATAATAATAATAATCACATTAAAAATATATCATTTTTAGAGTAATTGGTTGTCGAGTAGATATAGTTTGAAGAAAATGAGAATGTTTAGAAGAAATTGAAAGAAAGTAGAAGGAACTGGAAGAATTGGAAAGAATTAGAAGAAAACTAGAAGAAACTAGAAAAATTTGAAGAAACTGAAAATTAAGAGTTTAAATGATAAAGAACAAACTCTTGTTCACGGTTTACCTTTTAGGTATCCGTAGTGCGTAAATAGCGGTCCAAAATGCGCCGTTAATTAAGTATGATATGAGATTTTGTATTAACATTACTGGACTGAACTTGATGATTTCATTAAACATAAACGTGCTATTTATAGTAGCTACAAGACTATGACATTGACCTAATTACAAGCCGATTACTTTGGCCCGCTACTATCAAACCATAAGACATATTCTAATACTCCCTCCGTTCCACAAAACCCTTCCCCATTCGTTTTTTTGAATTCCCTAAACACTTCCACTTTCTATTAAAAAATCACTTTTACCCTTATTTTTTCATACCCTACCTATCACAACATACTTTTTCACTAATAACCAAACTATCACATCTTACTTTTACTCATCACATTAGGGGCAAAATTAGAAAGTCAACCAAAATTATATTTTCCTTATTTTTGCCAAAAGTCAAAAGTGGAAGGGTTTAAAGGAACGGAAGGAGTAGTTTTTTTTTGTTTATAATTTGTTCCACTCTTTAACCGTTCAACGCATTTTCTAAACTCAAACAAATTATAGAGTAATCCCTTTGTGTTAGTGTGTTTTTCTATCTTGAGTTTCTTAAGTCAAACAAGATAAATTTTGAGCTTTAATTAAATAAAAAATAATATTGTGTATTAGAAGGCAAATGATTTTATTAGATATTAATTTTGTTAGTTTTCAAAATTTTATTGGAAAACTTTATAGGAATAGTCCAAAAAATCTCTGATTTTACAATAAAACTCCAAAAATCAATTAATTACACAATTACTCCCACAATGGTTCTATTTTTGCAAAAACACTCTACCCGTCACCTCACTTACACAATCATATTGTGTAATATATACATTAATTTTTAAAGTGATGACTTAGAAAATAAATAATATTTTTGGTTTTAATACAAAAAATTACTTATTCTTTATCCAACTCGAATATCAATCTTGTACTTTAAGGGTTTGTTCTTTTAGGTTGGAAAAGTTAACTTTCATAGTATTCTTGTAATATATATGAGGGATTTGTCGGAGTATTGTTGTAAATTTTTCCAATTTTATTTTATTGTGCTAATAATCCTCAAAGTTTGTCAATTTTAACTAAAAAAGTTACACTCGACAAATACACTAAGGATCCATTTGATACACGTAATTGGCGGAATTATAATTGAATTAGGAGTTGAAATTTCTATGGAATTGATATTGATGGAACTAAATTTTCCAACTCCAATTCATTTTTGGTACTACAAATTTCAAATCTACATATTTTTGTATTATCAAACAGCAGAATTGAAATTATTGTCTTCAATTCTAATTTTATAGTTTGAATTATGTGTACCAAACGGAGCTTAAGACAAATGTTATACTCCAAATATCAAAAATTTAACTTTAAGATAGAGGGATTAGTTGAAGAGTTTAAAATTAACTACTCCTGAGTACTAATTTCTTAAAAAGGAATTACGTTCAAATTATATTTATCTTTCCATAAGTGTAGTCTCCATATTTTAAATAGTAAGGTTCGGTAATTTATAAGGGTACCATATAAGGGTCTGATTTAGATGTAAATTCTCCATAGACTTAAAGCCCGTGTTCATAAAATGGACCTTGGTGTATTTGTAAAATTAAAGAAGTGAGGCTTTTCCAAAAAGAAAATATCTATATGCAAATTCATGAAAAATGTGAGAAAATCCACATTTTAAATGTTGACCTTGGGACCATGTACGCATCACTCGATTTAGATCAAAAGACTTTTATGAGCTAGTCACTCGACTCCAAATAATTGTATTGAGTAAGTGTATGTATTTAATTTGATTTTAAAAGATTTTGATAGATTTTTTAAAACTAAAGAAATATGTGACATCCATTGGTTATCTATTTTTAGATAGGTTTAAACAAAATAATCATAAAATTCACAAACTTACCATTTATGATTTAAATTTTCATATTAAAATTATTTCAGACCACTTTATTTTTTTTATTGAAGTTCACAAATAGTACGCTTGTGAGATTCGTGACCATTTATTATTTGAACAAAACATCTCTCTTGTTTTAAGCAGAATTTAATACATTTTATCAGCACGATTTTAGAAATTTTGTACTCCGTATGATTTTTTAAAATCTCCAATTATGTCAAATTTATGAAATCAAAACTTCCGTTGTGCTGCTGCAGATTTGCAGTTTTTTTTCCAATCCAAACTCATAAAAATATAGATTGATAGAATAAAGATGCGATTCCAGTGTACTCATTTGAATGTGGCAAACTCAATGAAGAATTGAAGAAGATTAGTAGAAATAGAAATGCGACATTGTGAGAAGAGAAGAATAATACTGAACTCTATCAATATCTTCTTTCTTATAATAAACAAATTTTCTATTCTATGAATTACTATTTAATATCATTAGATTTTGATAGACATTTTAAAATCTGAATTATGCCTGTTTAAAATTCAAATTGAATACTCTTGAATTTTAAATGATTTTTTTTAAAATATGAATTGAGTTTTTTTAAAATTGATTTTTTTAAAATTTAAAAAAAAATCATATAGAGTTTAGATTGAATACATCTGCAAACCTTAATAACAAATTGTAAAAAAAAAGTAGTTTTAATATAAATTTAATATAATTTGATTCATTTGAAGAGATAGTTTTTAATTTACCTCGTAACTCTCAATTTGTAATCAAATTAAGAACGATGGGAGTATTTAATTTAATTGCGATTAAGAAAGATCACATAAAATAAATTTAGAACCAATAATTTTGAGACAAGGGATGTGGCTAGCCAAAAGAACCATCACCTCACTCAATAGACTGTGCACTACTTCCATGTCCCATGTCTCCATTTTTTTGTGCTATACAGTTATATAGGAAACCCTACCTCTAGCTATAACCTATTTGTACTCTGTACCATCTATTTATTCTTCATCACTCTCTTTCATGACTTTTCTATACTTTCTTCTCAAATAATCCCTCTAAACAAATCTACCTGGATAAGAGTAAAAAAAAAGTAGGAAAATATTAAAATATAAGTCAATTGACAGTGTGATGTAAGAATATGTGTTGGGAGTCTTATGAAAAAATAATAATAGTATTATATATCAGTGTGATCACTCAATTGTCAGCGATCCGCCAACTTACCTTCCGTTTTCTCTTTAAGTTTGAGTGAAAACAGAACCGTCAAAACCGAACTCATCCCTATCTAGCATGACTCTTCTTTTTAAACAAAGTTTTAAAAATGCTCGTTTTAAAAACAATGTCAACCGACTTCAAAAAAAAAAACAATGTCAACCACTCAACTTTTTTCTTTGAATGAAAGGTAAAGTTTGTTTTGAGATGCTGAGGAAGGTATTTATCTTACTTTAGAGTGTGAAGCTGGAGAAATGGAGGATAAAATCAATTTAAAATTACAAATAACTTAGAGTCAAATGCATGAGAAAAAAAAAAAGAAATGGCCAAATTTTGGTACATGAATATAATAGCAAATTTCATAGACAATCTTAGTTCTTTCTAACTCAATTTTTACCGTTGACTTATTGAACTCTTAAAATGAAATGGTGATGATCAAAACACCGGTTCAAGAAATTTGAAAAGGAAAAGAAAAAAGAAAATGAATTGGAACACTGTTTTTCTTGTTTGGTTAGATGGAAAAAAAAGGAAAAGTGAAAAGAAAAAAATGAGAAGACAAAATTTACCAAGTGGAGAGAAAACCAAATTCCTAATATTTTAGTGAGGGAAAAGAGAGAAAATCATTTTCTTTTCTTTTTCTTTCCAAATTTTTTGAACCAAACATAGTGTAAACATCATTACTAACATAATTAAACTCGTAATGACCAAAAGTGACAGTGATAAGTAGACTTGGTTATTTTTGAGACAATGCAATTGAGTTCAAATTAATGATCGTGAAATCAAAAAGTAATCGTAAAGTTTTAATTAATGAGCAAATATTTCTTATGGTGAATTTACCTAAATAGCACTAAAACATAATGACTTTCCCTAAATAGCATCATGTGTTTTTTTCACAATGTAGCACTTTTAGTCATTATCAATTAGTCATTATTCAAGTAAATGTTCGCCATCACTGGTCATTATTTGTCATTCTGGACATTATTAAATGCTATTTCGGGAAATAAAACAATTTAAATACTATTTAAGAAAATGACTTAAGTTTTAGTGCTATTTAGTGCAAATATTTCTTATAATATCCTTAACTAAAAAGAAAAAATACTCCGTACTACTCCCTACCCAAAGATTGTTGGTACGTATTTTAATTAGTTTCATCCGAGTTTAATTTTTGTTATAAAATTTTTATCGAATACTTTGATGAAATTTTCGTAGGACCATGCTACACTTACACCAAAAAATATACCCCATTTGTACACCACAGTTATGTACAAACATTTTGATGATTTACACCGACACAAGTGTTGGTGCGTTAACAAAAATTTACACGGACACAAAGTATTGGTGCGTTAACAAAAATTATTTTTACACCAACACAAAATGTTGGTGCAAACATGCGGGGTACAAATTGGAGTATAAATGTTGGGTACATATACCTTAATCCATTTTCGTATTTCTTAATCTATACCATACTCGCTGAATGAGCTAACAAAAACGTATGTCTCATCAGAATACTTTCACTTTTGCAAATGATATACTCTGGTAATAAATTGTTTAAATGATTTGTCTCTTTCTTTTGTTCGACAGTAATAATATAACTAAAGCCAAATTATGAAAATAAATTTACCAAAAGTCAAAATTTGAACGGCTTTAACAAACAAAGAGACTAAACATTAGTCATTAAAGTAAAAAATTGAAATACAATAAACTACAAAAACAGATGGGGCAATTTTATTCATGGATCTCATCGGCAATGTTTTGTTTCCTCTGAGATCATCATCATCATATATTGTTACAATAATTTCAGAAAACATGTGACACATACAACCACTATTATTATATGGAATACTACTATATATTATTACCAATAATATATTTTTTTTTATCACACACATATTATCATGCATAAACTAGTAGGAAAATGCAAAAATACAAAATACCATACAAAACCAACTTATAACTTAGATCATCTTCTTCATGCAAATACTGTCTCCACCTTCACAAACAAAAAAGGTGAACTGCATGTTTCACATTTTTTGATGATTCATCTTAATTAACCACTATCACTTTCTCTTCATACTCCCTTCAATTTTCTTCCACCCCTGCAATTTATTAATAATTAATTAAAATCACTTTGATTATGCAACAAATGATTTTCTAGTTGAGTTTAATTATGTTTGTAAGCGCAGAAAAGATTTTTATATTCTAAAAGAAAATTAAATAAAATACTCCGTATAAATGATCATACCTTATTTGGCTTAGAGGTAGTGAGGAGGAGGGGGAGATGTGTACTTATATGGGGGAGGTGATGGGTGAACCGGCGGCGGCGGCGGAGACTTGTATTTGTAATGGTGCTTGTGAGGCGGCGGCGGTGGTGGAGATTTGTACTGGTAATGGTGGTGCTTTGGAGGTGGCGGCGGGGACTTGTAGTGGTATGGTGGTGG